CTGAATATTCACTATTTCTTCCGATCCCCTGGGGATCCCCAGGGGATTACCTCACATTATCAAAGTCATTTATCTTCCTGAAAAATCAATGAAAACGTTGCAAAATTGCACTAAAGATACACTATGATACTGCTGAGCATATTTTCGACAGAAGAAATGGAATTGAAGATTTTGATTTTTTCGATAATCCCTGGCTCGAAAGCAGCGGTTCATGGAAGATTTTGATATCTTGAAATTTCACTCATTTCCACCATAAACATGTTTAGCAGTGCTGTAGTATATCCTCAGTACAATTCTGGAGCATTTTCGTCGAGTTTTCAGGAAGATAAATAACTTTGGAATTGTGAGGTGATCCCCTGGGAATTCCCAGGGGATCAGACGAAACAGTGAATATCTAATCTTGTATGGCAGTAACCTGGCATCCGTTATGCGTAAGTATCAGTGTATGAAAACCTTCAAAAGCAAGACAGAGAAAGGAGAAGAAAGATACATAGACTAGCGAGATATGACGCTTCCCCTCTCAGATCCCCTCCCCTCCCCGCGGGGATGTACGTGCATACGGGCCTAAGAGTAAAAAAGCACGAAGTGCTCTCGAGGGAAGGACAGACCCACGAGCTTTATCCGACAGGACATTTTCGCTAAGACGTTTGACCTCCAGACTCCACAAAAACCACAAAACTCAAAAACCACATTTCTGGCCCTAAAAGCAAAAAAAGACAGGGAGCTTGATTTCGAGGTAAGAAAGAATTATGGCCTCATGCAGCAAGATATTTTCGCCAGAAGTTTCTGAGTGTGGTGATGTCAATGATGTCAGTGTCAATGATTATACAGAAACTTGCATAAAATTTACTTCTGGCCATTCTACTTTGCAAAAACCAACTTCTTCCTCTAAAAGCAAAACAGCACAGATAGCTTGGTTTCGAGGAAAAGACACAACCATGAGCTTTATGCGACAAACATTTTCGTTAAGGCCTTTAGACCCCCCCCCCCCCGACTTCGCAAAAACCAGTATTTCTGCCTCTAAAAGCAGAAAAGCACAGAGAATTTAGTCTCTAGGGAAGGAGACCCATGAGCTTTTTGCGACAGGACATTTTCACATAAACTTTCGGCCCCTTCTGCTTCGAAAAAACCAGTACTTCTGCCCTGAAAGCAGAAGCACAGGGTGCTTGGTCTCGAGGGAAGAAAAAATCATGGCTTCAGGCAGCAAGATGTTTTCGCCAGAAGTTTCTGGGTGTCAATGATTATACAGATCTTGCTTGAAATTCACTTCTGGCCCTTCTACTTTGCAAAAACCATACTTCTGCCTCTAAAAGTAAAAAAGCACGAAGTGCTCTCGAGGGAAGGACAGACCCATGAGCTTTATCCGACAGGACATTTTCGTTAAGACGTTTGACCCCCAGACTTCGCAAAAACCACAAAACTCAAAAAACACACTTCTGGCCTTAAAAACAAAACAGCACAGGTAGCTTCGTCTCGAGGGGAAAAGACTCATATCAGCCTGCAAGATACTTTCGCTGAAAATTTCTGGGTGTGAATAATTATTCATACAGAAACTGAAATTTACTTGTGGCCATTCTACTCTGCAAAAACCAGACTTCTGCCTCTGAAGGCTCTCGAGGGAAAGACAGACCCATGAGCTTCTTGCGACAGGAAATTTTCTTCGCTGAAAATTTTGGCCTTTCAAACTTCGCAAAAACCACACTTTTGTCTCTAGAAAAAAAAAACAGGGAGCTTGGTCACGAGGGAAGAAAAGACTCAGGGCTCAGGCAGCAAGATATTTGCGCTAAAAAATTTTAGGTGTCAATGTTTGATTATACAGAAACTTGCTGAAAAATCACGGCCCCTTCTTCTCAACCATACTTCTGCCCCTAAAAGCGGAAGCATAAGGAGCTTGGTTTCAAGGAAAGGAAAGACGTAGGGTTTTATGCGACAGGACAGTTCCGGTAAGATTGTTCTTCAAAAGAAGGCGTTGAGCCAGCTTTAGTCTGTTCTAAAAAATGAGTCCGTTTACTGGCAAGACATCATCGAAGAAAATGCTGCTTTGTTTTTACCTACATCTCTGTTTTCGGCTGCTGGAAAACATAACTTGACGCTTCCTTTAAGAATTTCCTGGTAATCAATCTGAGTTTTGGGATGAATCAGCTGTTCTAAACAGGTGCTTGATGTTGGCTTCCTTGTTTAGGAGCTGTGGTATCTGGGCGAAGGTATCTCCAAGAGGAACAGCAAAGATGATTTGCGGATAGTCACTGATAGTAGCTTCTTTTCCTAAGAGCATAGTATCTGCCCCCACCCACCTACTAGCGACCCGTAGGGTCGCTAATCCTATATATAAAGCTGAATGTCTGTTTGTATGTCTGTATGTCCGTATGTCTGTTTGTATGTATGTAGGTATGTTCCGAATAGAAACATTAATGAACCGATCCGGACCAAACTTGGCACACATACACTTTGAAGCCGGGCGGGTGTCATAGCTTTTCGTCATCGATCGGTATCGATTTTATCGATTTTGATCGATTTTTTGCAGAGTCCTACGGGGCTGGGATTTGGCACAAGGGAGTAAACGAGCATGCTGATTACGAATACAATATTAGTTTTGAAACTATTTATTACTTTTATAAATTTTATCGGTTTTTTTGTAAAGTTTGAGCTACGGGGCTGGAAGTTGGCGCAGGGGAGTAATCGAACATGCTGATTACGAATACAATATTAGTTTTGAAACTATTTATTACTTTTATAAATTTTATCGGTTTTTTTGTAAAGTTTGAGCTACGGGGCTGGAAGTTGGCACAGGGGAGTAATCGAACATGCTGATTACGAATACAATATTAGTTTTTAGAATTATCTGCTACTTTTATCAATTTTATCAATTTTTTTGCAAAGTTTGAGCTACGGGCCGGGAGTTGGCACAGGGGGGGGGGGTAAGTGAGCATGCTGGTTACTAACACAGAGGAATGGGGAGTTGGAGTAGATATGTAGAAGTGGACACAGGGAAAGGTTGTACAGGGAGGGAGCTTTATCATAGTGTTTTGACAGGGCTGGGCGGAGCCGGGCAAGCCAGCTAGTTGATAATAAATTTTATGGCGTAAGAATGGGTTTCACGATTAGGAAAACAACAGGCGTGACAAACAAGACCCAAAGAGACCAAGGACAAATAAGACCCAAAGAAACCAAGGACACAATGGACGCAGAAAGCCGTTAACCCATTGACGAGCGCCATTTTGCACGGCGGCGCTGTGGGACGACGCGACTTTGCACAACACTTTCGGCGTGGAAAAGTTTTGTGATTGTTTACGAAATATGAAGTTGTTTTGTAGGCAGCTGCAATCATATTCTTAGAAAACGAAGTCTACAGGTCCCCAAAGTGCAAGAAATTGGAAAAAATGTTGAACTTTGAAAAAATCAACAGACCTGGAAAGAATACGACATTTCAAGGGATGTGGGCCACCAGTGGTCCACATCGTCGTCAATCATAACTTATAATAACGGGCTAAGGGTGTTTACGTTTTTTTGTGTGTGTGTGCGTGTGTCTGTCTGTCCGTTACGAAATTCGTAGGGCGTGTTCCAGCCAACGTTCTAAGCCCAAATTTTGCACAGCTCACGCTACCTGCGTGAAAGCCCACCATGCAAAAACATGAGCGGATCCGTTGACTGGGTCCGTTGAAAATTGCGCCTCAAACGGATCCACTTGGCTTCTGACCAGCAAAATTGGGCCGGTATCAACATTTCTTGCGAAGTCGTGGATACGTTTGACAAGCTAAAGTGCAAGCCATGGACGTTAACCCAAAAAATTGGACTAAAGTCGATTAGTTTACGAAAATGGCGCCAAAAAGAATAAGTTGCATAAATGTTCAATTTGCCAAGATTTTACCTGATCGTTTGAGAAGATTTTCGCACAGGGGTGTAGTCCACTGTGATTATTGTCGTTATGGCGACTACCAAGTCATAGAAAGTCCAAAAACCAATTCAAATTCGCATTAATTTTTCTCGAAAAACTTTCATCCACGCGAAAATACCGATCTCACACAAAAAAGCTCTGGGAATGAGTAGTTGTTTACAAATCATTCGTGATAGCCTGCATGGCTCGGTGAGTTTTAATGTCATTATTATGCGGGAATGAGTTAGGCATACAGAAAGTAGGGCCAGTGCGAACCTCTGCGAAGCAGAGGTGACGCACTGGTGGGTTAATAAGAGCGTAGGCCGCGTGCTCTGGATGCGATCGGGACATTATGGGGTCTCCCGCAGGTATTCCGATTTTGATCGGAATGTGTCGGTCGGGACACCTGAGTCGCGCACTTTTCTCCCGAAACAAAACCAGATGTCCTGATTTTGTCCCGACACCGATTTCGGGAGTCGCGCAGGCGTTTCGTGACTAACCTCTGATTCGACTGGCTTGGCACCATTAGGGCGGGGTTTTGTGATCTAATTGAGGCCGCTCGCGCCCGCGACGCACCTGCGCCTCTCTCGCGCGCGTGCTCTGATCACTACCTAGCCTTAATTAGGTCACGAAGCCCAGCCTTTGCCGATGCCAAGCCAGTTGAATCAAATGGTACACCTCGTTTTGTCCTGCGCGAGTCAACTGCGAATGTCTGAGTAAGCAGCACCAAGGTACTTCAAGCTATTAATAATAGTCTTTTCGGCTAAATTCGCATAAAAAGGTCTGAGAAGAAATACATTCTTGAATCAGTGTTGAAAGCAAGCAGACATTGTATAATAAGTTCATGACTGTTTTGTGTTTATGTAATAACTCACCCGAAATGATTTCAAAAAACATGTCAAAATGGACCAAAACACGTCATTTTTTCGTGACATGTATCAAGGAGGCGGTCCTAGTAGAATTCACGAAATTCTTAGACTAAAGAACATATAATATGGGAGCCTTTTGGAGAGATGGGTCGGATGACGGAAAAGCACCCTCGAAACAAATGGCAACGCTTTCATCAGTGAGTTCATCTCCATCAAAAAGACTCAAGTGCGACCTTTCGGAATGCAGTTAAGCTTGCCTGGTATACCTCCTTGTCACGGCAGTAACTGCATATCCTCCGAAACACGACTGCCGTGTCCGTGAGCTTATCAAAAATCAGTATAATGATGAGTTTGGAAATCATTAATCCTACAATCTATCCGAGATTACATAGTCGATTTGCGGCGTTACGACAGTTCGAGAAAAGGCTATGAGGTTCTATAAACAACAAGTAACAGAGCAAGCTAGACTTACAGATGCAAGCACTTATGTTAGTACAGATGCAATGCGAAGATATCATATGTTCATTGTTCAAGAGTCAATTCCTTACTTCACTTGTAATCTCTGAACTCATTCGTTCTGAAGCTACAACGTTTGAAGGCGAAATAAACGCAATGGGAACGGATACTTTGTCACACATTGCTGAGATTGATTATATAGAAAGACTAAATTAATGAAAAGATAAAAACAACCGAAACCTTCTACCTTGAAGTGGAACTTTGATGAAGATTGGGAATTAGCGTACCTATCCTTAAGGTTACAAGGATATCGTCCACCTGCTGACTTACTGGGCCAGCCGTATTTGGTGACTGTCCCTCAGGAACAACAGCATCGCGAAGACGATCGGCGTTAAACATGACTGTGAGATGCTTATAAGTTGAAGAAAACGTCTGCAAACTTTACAGCGACGAGAGCAGCGCTTCTTTCGAGCTTGCTCTCTCCTTCCGGATTCTTTTGTTGAGCCTGCACCGAGATTGTATCAATGGAATATTCTTCAAGATACATTCGTGTTCGCCCAACAACGGATCTTAGTCGTTTGTATGTAAGAGTATTAATCAGGGCCCGGCACGAGGTGGGCAGACGGGGTTTCCCAAAATGAATTCCCCTTTGACCCCAATAGTCTTTACGAATACCCCCTTGAGACCAAAAATGACGCTTTGTGCTTCTGGAACAAGGGCACCGGCCACACTTCGCCTAAAAGCGCTCAAAAGCGCCCAAGATGCTCAAATTCCTCTAATTACTCCTCACCTGTATCAAGATAGAAAACAGGAAGAAGAATAAGCAAGGAAAATGATGAAGGAATGAAAAAATATCAAATGGACGCAGTCATAGGACATAGGACTGAGAGACGCCGTTCCCGCGCGTATCGATTGACTGGGGCTCGGTTTCCATCTTAGAAAGCTAGGCTGCTGATGCGTTTTTGAGCTCTAACAAAGACAAGAGGAGGAGTTTCGGAACCAAAATCTTACCATATAGTAAACTTCAGGTGAACAACAGATTTATGTAAAAATTTTGAAAAAATTATGTGAATTGAAAGTTTTGCCCACCTCAGGTGGGCATTAGGTGGGCAATTGCCCACCTAATTTGGAAAAAAGTTAAGCACGCTCTTCATTCACATAAGTTTTTCATGATTTTTCATACATTGTTCCTTGGTCCTGCTGCGCGTATACACACCAATTCTCGCGCGATTTCGTTTTCTCTGCGCTGCAACGAGCCATTTTTCCATTTTTTGATAGTGGGAAATTTTCAGAAAAAAGCTTGCTACAACCTTCCTTCACATAATTTTTCAATGAAACTTCTAAGATAAGCCCTGCAGGCCCGTTTTCATGTACCTACCAAGTTTCATACCGTATGGTCATCTGTGCGCTGCAAACGAGCCATTTGATTTCACATCTTCATTTACCAGTTTTGCGAAATTTCTGGAAAAAATGCTTATTACACTTCCCATTCACATAAGTTTTTCATAACATTTCATGCTTTGTTTTTACTAGCCTCTCTTTGTTCGCTCACGTAATTTGGTGCTATATCATTACGCCTGCATTGAGAACTGATCATGTAATCATGCTGTACAACGGCATCACTCATGCAACGTCGCGCACGCGGCAATTAGCGGCAACGCGGCGTAGTATGCGCGAAGTCTGCTGTGCGTTGAGGTTTATGAAAACTATTTTCCGATGAATTAGATGTATAAGGTAAGCATGATTCGACCTTCTTTTGCTTGCACTTGGAATCTTCTTCCGGGGCTCCGCCCCGGATCCCGCAAAAACGATATCCCCTTTGCTTTTTGGCCCCAAAACGATTTCCAGCTTGTCATTTGCCCACTCGTGCCGGGCCTGGTATTAATATTAGGCGTCCCGAAAGTTCTTTCGCACCAAATTCAAAAATTCATAACTAGTTGAATTCTCAGCGAATTTACAAGGTCTAAATCTTATATATAAAGCTGAATGTCTGTTTGTCTGTATGTATGTCTGTATGTATGTCTGTATGTATGTCTGTATGTATGTACGTATGTTCCGAATAGAAAATTTCATTTCTGAACCGATCCGGACCAAACTTGGCAGACATACACTTCGGGCCCCGGCGGGTGTCATAGGCTACTTTTCGTCATCGATCGATATCGATTTTATCGATTTTTATCGATTTTTTTGCTGAGTTCACCTACGGGGCTGGGAGTTGGCACAGGGGGTAATCGAGCATGGGGATTCCGAATACAATATTGGTTTTCAGGATTATCGATTACTTTTATCGATTTTATCGATTTTTTTGCAAAGTTTGAGCTACAGGGCTGGGAGTTGGCACAGGGGGGTAATCGAGCATGCTCTCGATTACACCCCTGTGCCAAATTCCAGCCCCCTAGCTCAAATTTTCAAAAAATCGATAAAATCGATAAAAGTACTGGACGATCTTGAAAACTAATATTGTATTCGTAACCTGCATGCTCGATTACCCCCCTGTGCAAACTCCCAGCCCCGCATGTCAAACTTTACAAAAAAATCGATAAAATTGATAAAAGTAGCAGATAATTCTAAAAACCAATATTGTATTCGTAATCAGCATGTTCGATTACTCCCCTGTGCCAACTCCCAGCCCCGTAGCTCAAACTTTGCAAAAAAATCGATAAAATCGATAAAAGTAATCGATAATCCTGAAAACCAGTATTGTATTCGGAATCCCCATGCTCACTTCCCCCCCTGTGCCAACTCCTAGCCCTGTAGGTGAACTCTGCAAAAAAAATCGATAAAAATCGGTAAAATCGACATCGATCGATAACGAAAAGTGGACTGTGACACCCGCCGGGGCCCGAAGTGTATGTGTGCCAAGTTTGGTCCGGATACGGCGGAGTCGGGTAAGCCAGCTAGTTTTATATAAGAGAGAAACTCATGCTTTTTGCTCGTGTCTCTGAAAGGTTCGTTAATGTGTACAAATGAAGGAGATAGAAGCTCAAAACCAAAATCACTCAAAATTTGAATTTTTCGTATAGGTTCATAAAAAATCGGAAACTCGCAACAAAAATCGGAGCTGTCGATATTGCAGGTTTATCCGCTCTTTCTAACAGTGCAAATTGCGCCGATTGAGCGTCTCTATGAAAAGTTATGATTTTCGAGCAAGCAATACAAAAGAACGAATTTGATTTATTAGGTTGTCCCAAAAGTTCTTGCGCCTGATATTCAAAAAATCATATCTTCCTTGCCACTCGATGGATTTCCTAGATTTTGATTTCATTTAAAAGAGGAAACCTTTCTCTTTACAAATGTACCTTTGCTGTAGAGCGGCGTCAGAAAGTTCCAAAGCTAAAAGCAATTGAATAAAATCAGTCAAGATCGGCATTTTTCAAGCTGGATCACGAAAAATTCTATTTTTATTGGGTAGAGAAAATTTTGCACATTGCAGTGGTACCTTTTTCATAAGCTAAAACGAGGTAGATCAAGAGTTAAAGCAAATAAAGAGAATTTCTTCAATTTTGCAATATTTGAGCATAATCAAAAAAGCTTGAAAACATCACAAATAGGCGAAAAATCATAAACATGGGTTTTGTGACCTTCCCTTTCTAGCTGAGCGAAAATCGTGCCAATCGGGAGCAATTTTGATTTTCTGATTTAATCGGATTTTCGGGCCTGCGTTTTTCACGAAAATGAAAATTGCTCCCGATTGGCACAATTTTCGCTCAGCAAGAAGAGGAAGGTCACAAAACCCATGTTTATGATTTTTTCGCCTATTTGTGATGTTTTCAAGCTTTTTTGATCATGCTCAAATATTGCAAAACTAAAGAAATTCTCTTTATTTGAATTTAACTCTCAATCTACTTCGTTTTAATTCATAAAAAAAAGTACGACTGTAATGTGCAAAATTTTCTCTATCAAATAAAAATACTTCCAGAATTTTTCGTGATCCAGCTTGAAAAATGTCGGTCTTGACTAATTTGCTTCAATTGGTTTTAACTCTCGAACTTACCGATGCTAATTCATGGCAAAGGCACCGCTATAAAGAAAAAGGTTTCCCCTTTCATACAAAAATAATTTTGAGAGAAATCGTCGAGGAGAAAGGAAGTTATGATTTTTTGAAAATCTGGCGCAAGAACTTTTGGGACAACCTAATATTTTGGCAGTTTTCAGGGAACAGCATACAGCGTCACTGTGGAATAGGCTTTTTGATGAAATAAGTACAAAAAAAAAGAACTGAAAATTCGTGTAGCAAGGTTTTCAGGCGTGCTGATTTCACTACATGACTTTTCATCAGTTCTTCGAGCTTTCTTGATGGCGTATTCTCACTTCTGGCGGACATTGGAAAAACAGTTGTTACCCCAAATCTGAAATACATTATGAAAGAAACAATATACTAAAGCGCAAATTTCTTATCTAGAATCAGCGACTTCGATTAGCCCACTTCAAGAGCTCCTGGCTTGTTTGGCTTTCTTTGTGAGGCAAAATACCGGCAAATTGCCGCTTTCAGTGGCTCAAAATCCTCCTCGAAGTCCCTATATCTTACAGTAATGAAGAGCAATCGATGATTCGCTACACATTTCAAATCTAAGTTGAACCTCGCTCTACAGAATGGTACCTCAGCCTCGGCAAAAGACATGAAAGCAGGGGAGTTATTAACGATCAAACAGTGTGCACTTCTTTTTGGGACACCCTGCACAAAAAAATATCCGAAAATTTCGATTTTCGAACATTATTCGATGTTCGGATAATCGAAAAAAAATTTCGAGTTTTCCTTAGTTAGGACGCCGCCAGTCTGGGCCGCCTCCGCAGACTACCGGTTTTGGAACGACATGCAATAACATTGCGAAAGGACCAGGTTGACCACGAAAGGCCGCTCAGTAGCGGCGTTCGTTCCTTTACCCCGACAACAGCCCCGCGCACTGCATCCGCAACGGTAGGTGTGCGAGCCAGCTTCTTACAAAGGAAGGATCTCATTGTCAATTCACCGAGACAATTTGGAACGAATTTGCTTAATATTAGATTCGTCTCTTTGAGCTGATTCCAAATCTGCCTTTCTATCTGCTGCGCTGTTTTCCAGAAGAAGCTACGAGCGATTGAAAGGTTGAAGTCATTGAAGTACTAATGCTTGATTTGCCTCAAAAACCTGCTTGAAAGTGCATAAATGTCATGCTGCTGAATGCACTAACTAGAAGGGATGCACACATAGACCGGCAACATAGGTAAGAGTGTTTTTGAACAACTAATTCTTGAAGTAGGAGTCACAGCTCCTCACAAAGCGATGCCGCCGCGCGGCGGCTGTGCGGGAGGAACCAAAGGCCTTACAGCGTGTACCCAAGGGGGGAAGTGGAGGAGCTGGCCGCGTTCCAAGAAGGACCTGGCAACCTTTCACGCTCCACCCTCTGCTCTGAGTCTGG